CCATTACATACACACCACAATATAAAGGTACAGTAATTATTGTCACATATTAGTGATCCTTTATAGGCAAAGTTTCATCCAAAGAACGGCCCCCTCCAACATTGCAACAGAACTGCATGGGAGCGTTAATGTAGGCTGTGCGCTTAAGTCTAAAAGTGGGACTTGAACCTTGGACTTCTGACCCAGAAGCCTCCCAGAAGACGATCAGTGAGACAAAGCTGGTACCTGTTCAGAAGGTGGAGTAGGCATGGCACCTTAAGAATAATAATAATAATAATAATCCTTGCATTTGATATAGCGCTTTTCACGTCGGGAGGACGTCCCAAAGCGCTTCACAGAACACACTGTAAAGTGAATTGACTGTATATTTGTGGGCGAACGCGGCAGCCAATTGCGCACAGCAATGTCCCACAATCAGTCGTGGATTGAAAATGACCAATTTATTATTGTTTTGTTTTGGAGGGATTATTATTAGGCTCTGTGTGGAGTAAGGAAACTTGCCCAAGGTTTCACCCTCTGCCTGGAATTGAACTCAGGTCTCTCGCTTGCAAAGCGAGTGCTCTAACCACTGAGCTACAGGACTCCACGACTGCACGACTCCACCTTCTGTTCAGTGCTAGGATCAGAGATTCCCTGAACAAGTTAGCTGTTATCTGTTTGTCCGCAGAGACAACCCATCGTGTAAAGTAACAGACCTGCACTACACCTCGTCTCCAGTGAAACATTACACCACTGGAGCAGAAACTTTACACATGTATTTATTTACGTCTTGTCCCTCAAATAGCCATGAAGTGAACAACCAATTTTATGTGTGGGATTGTTGAACAGAACACCAGGAGAAACAACCTTAGGAATAATGCCTCAGGATCCTTAACGTCCACCTGAACAGGTGCAGACAGGACCCTGGATCAAAGAATCATTTGAAGGACAGCACCTCCGGCAATGTGGCACTCTCCCTGTACTGCATTAGAATGTCAACCTAGACTGGGAGTTTAAAGTCCTGAAGTGGGGCTTAAACCCACAACCTTCTGACTGGGAGGCAAGAGTGTTACCAACTGAGCCAGGCTAATATTCTGGCACAAGAAGTAGGCACTGCTCACACTGCCGTTGGCACTACATCTGCTCACAGCTGTGACCAAACCAATTCCAGGCCTCCCATAACATCAGCAACTGATCTGTCGAGCAATGATATGAAAGAATGTATATTTTTAATCACCTCGCTGTTATAAAAGATCAGGGGTTTAGGGAGAGAGCTGGAAAGTGGGATTAATAAGGAATCATAGCACAAGAAGCTGCAATACAGACATGTGAATGGCCTTGTGTTCCTGGGTCTCTGACCAGCTGGACACCCCTTCCCATTCTTAAGACACTTTAAACCTGCGCAAACCACAGCTCTCAAAAGCATTACACCTTGTGTTTTATTAGTTCAAAACAAGCTAAGAAATTCCAACATTAAAAACCAGGTAGGTAGTAGGTAAATCAGCTGGGAGAAAGAAGGCAAGTCAAAGTGCTTAATTCAGATTTCTAGTCAATTCGGCTTCTCTCATTATCCAATGTTGTGCGTGCTGTCGTCTTGGCTGGGTTTCCTTCCCGTATTTTTGTCTAAGACGCAATTGCCCACGGAGGAGATGGGGAGGCCTGGGCATCTGTGGTCACTCCCCCCACCACCACCACGCTTTGTATTATTCGGTTTGAAGTAAAAACTCATTCTGCCAAATCATCTCGCAGTCACACCGAAAATTACAAATTCACTTCATCGTGACAAGAGTTATGTACATCAGATAAAAGGCGTCCATCTCTATTTTTTCTCCTTGCCTTCTGCGTCTAGTAGTGCAGAACGAATCCCCAACTTGTTCAGCTCCTCTATCAGGTCACCGTTTTGGTGCATCTGTAGAAGGATGTCACAGCCACCTACAAATTCACCATTGAAGTAGATCTGAGGGATGGTCGGCCAATTAGAATAATCCTTGATACCTGGTGAAAGAAAGTCAAATTATAAACTATGAAGATAACGACAGCTTCAACCCTCGCTGGCACGTGGACCACTTAACCGTAACCTTCCCTTTGTCCAGGCTGCTGGGGAGTAGAAACAGATGGTAAGAGAAAGGGATTGCCATTATCACCTAGTAAATGAGGGAAAGTGGTCCTATTGCCCTTAACCTAGTGGCCAGTCTCTCAACTGCAGAAAGCAACACTAGAGCCAATCCAGTCACTGCCTAATGTCTGCACATGTGTATATTCCTGTGTGGCGAGCAGGAACACAGGCCTTTTCTCCAGGGACACAAAGCACAACAATGGTTCCCACAGGCACCTTAGCTCTACATATTTATCCAGCCACCAAAATTTCTGAGAGAAGTTTCAGAGGGTTTTTTTTGGCAATGAATCTGTCTACGCAAATGTCTTTGAAAAGGGGAAACCACCTCAATGTCAAGATAACTGGTTACACGGGATTATAGGGCCAGGATAACAGTAACTCAATTCATAACTGATTTAGATAACGGATGATTGATGGTCTTTCACAGACTGTTTAATATTAAGAGACTTATGAACAAAAACAAGATTACATTTGTTTAGCGCCTTTCACGTCGGGAGGATGTTCCAAGGTGCTGGATAGTGTACAGCATTTCAGACCCAAGCTGGGGTCAGTGAGGGGGGAGAAGGGAAGGGAGGGGAAGGGGGGTAACCGATGGCATGGTCAAAGAGGAGGGTTTTGAGGCAGGACTTGAAGGAGGCTAAGGAAGGGGTGAGGCAGAGTGATTAGGGAATGGAATTCCAGAGGTTGGGGGCAGAGTGGCTGAAGGCTTTTCCGCCAATTGTGGGTCAGGGGACGTGGAGTAGGCTGGAGCCGGCCGAGCGGAGAGAGTGGGCGGGTTAATAGGGGGTTAGGAGGTCACAGAGGTAGGGTGGGGCGAGGCCATGGAGGGCTTTGTAGGTGAGGACCTGGATCTTGAACTGGATCCTCTGAAGGATAGGGAGCCAATGGAGTCGGGTGAGAGTGGGGGAGATGGGGTCACGGAGTTTGGTGCGGGAGAGGACACGGGCTGCAGAGTTCTGGATTATCTGAGCCTGTGGAGGGAGGGGTTGGGAAGGCCGACAAGAGGGCGTTTGCATAGTCGAGCCTGGAGGTGATGAAGGCATGAACAAGAGTTTCAGCGGCCTGAGGTAGTGGCGGAGTTGGCTGATGTTACAGAGGTGAGGGAAGGCAGAGCGGGTCATGGCTTGGATGTGGGGAAGTAAAGACAGTTGAGGGTTGAACAAGACCCCCAGGTTCCTGACTGGCTGGTGAGTTGCTGAGCTGTAGTGTATAACCATGGAGGTTGATGCTCCCAGAGCCTGAGGTGCGGAGGCGCTGCGCGAACCAATCAGGAGGGCCTCAGTCTTGTTCACATTCAACTGTAAAAAATTTGCCCTCATCCAGGACTTGAAGACTTCCCTGCTCCCCTCTAGGGAAACCTCTGTCCCCTCCAACTCAATCTCTCTGGAAACTTAGGCAAGAATTCAACAATCTCCTTCACTTCCACTCTCCAATCTTGATAACTGTTGCTGCTCAACCAGATGGAAGGTCCAACAGACAGATAAGGACCTTATGGCACAGCCATTCCCTCTCACATCTCCACATGACATCTGTGGATGATGTTAGATTGCGTAAGGAGCTGAGCTATGTTCCAAACAGTTTGTTGCAAGCAATTACTGTCAGGAAACACTTACACAATCGGACTTAAAAGTTCCTTCAAGTGAACTTTTCCAATAGTGTTGCAGGATGTTTAACATCCACCGAATAGGCAAACAGGATTTTTGTTTAACATCTCATCCAAAGATTGGCAACTCTGACAACACAATCCTCTCAGTACTGCAAAGGAATTACTATTATATTATTATACTCCTAACACCCCCATATACCCCTAACACTAGTTTGTGAGCTCAAATCTCTATGAGAACTGAAAGCCACATCAGGATTAACCTTCTGGTCCAAAGGCCACTCTTCTACTGGGCACATCACTATAAATATAATAATCACTGCATTTGATATAGCGCTGTTCACGTCTTCTCGACGTCTCAAAGCGCTTCACAGAATAGACTATAAAGTGAATTGACTGTATATTGTGGGCATAGAATAAAACGGTGCACAGAGAGCTGAATGTAGAAAAATTCAGTGCATCAGCCTCGCCCTCCCCGCCACTCAGCCCCGCCCTCCCCGCCACTCAGCCCCGCCCTCCCCGCCACTCAGCCCCGCCCTCCCCGCCACTCAGCCCCGCCCTCCCCGCCACTCAGCCCCGCCCTCCCCGCCACTCAGCCCCGCCCTCCCCGCCACTCAGCCCCGCCCTCCCCGCCACTCAGCCCCGCCCTCCCGCCACTCAGCCCCGCCCTCCCCGCCACTCAGCCCCGCCCTCCCCGCCACTCAGCCCCGCCCTCCCCGCCACTCAGCCCCGCCCTCCCCGCCACTCAGCCCCGCCCTCCCCGCCACTCAGCCCCGCCCTCCCCGCCACTCAGCCCCGCCCTCCCCGCCACTCAGCCCCGCCCTCCCGCCACTCAGCCCCGCCCTCCCCGCCACTCAGCCCCGCCCTCCCCGCCACTCAGCCCCGCCCTCCCCGCCACTCAGCCCCGCCCTCCCCGCCACTCAGCCCCGCCCTCCCCGCCACTCAGCCCCGCCCTCCCCGCCACTCAGCCCCGCCCTCCCCGCCACTCAGCCCCGCCCTCCCCGCCACTCAGCCCCGCCCTCCCCGCCACTCAGCCCCGCCCTCCCCGCCACTCAGCCCCGCCCTCCCCGCCACTCAGCCCCGCCACTCAGCCCCGCCCTCCCCGCCACTCAGCCCCGCCCTCCCCGTCACTCAGCCCCGCCCTCCCCGCCACTCAGCCCCGCCCTCCCCGCCACTCAGCCCCGCCCTCCCCGCCACTCAGCCCCGCCCTCCCCGCCACTCAGCCCCTCGCTCCCCACGGAGGAGCCCCTCGCTCCCCTTCCCAGTTCACAGCCCTGACCTTGACGCAGGTCCTGATCCTCCAGCACGTTGTAGGCGCCATACTGGTCCACGCCGTGCATCCTGAGGATCTGCACCACAGCGTTGCTGAAGCCGCACTGCGGTTTGGCGGGAGTGCCCTTGATGAAGACCACCACCTTGTGCTGCCTCACCAAACTGTCCAGATGCTGGCGGCCGCCGCTGCCCTCCCCGACACCCCGCCTGCCGCTGCCGCTCCAGCCTGTGACCGGGAGCCTGGGTTCGCACAGCCGCGCCGACAGACGCCAAGACAACCTGAGGAGGGAGGCCATAGAGGTGGAGGACAACCGCACCACTAACCGTCACCCGCCGCCGCTCGCGCCGCCTCGCCTCGCCTCGCTCCGCCCCCTCGCTGACCATTGGCCTGCCGTCCCCGTCACTTACTGAATCCCGCCCTCTCATTGGTCTGGCTGCCAAGCTCCCGCCTCCTTCGCGGCTGCTGATTGGCTGTCGCCTCGCGTATACTCGCGAGCTGATGGACGCCTTCTCCCCGAGCTCCCGCCTCCCTGAGGCGCGCCGATTGGCCAACGACCTCCACTACGCCGAGACAGCTCGCCTCCTCATTGGCTTCCAGAGCCGCCATTCACCGAGCCCCGCCTATCCCAGTCCCGCCTCTTATTCCGCCATTGGTTTTGTAACCCTCGGTGATACCCCTGACGCCCCCACGTGGTGGAGTCCCGCAGCGCATTGGGTACAGCCCTGTGAGTGAGAGGCTCTGGGGTGGATTCCTGTGCGGGGCCCCCCCTCTGGCCTGTGTTTCCCGCCTGTCAGCCCAGTGGGGATCAGGTGTCCGGGGGTCCAAATAATTCCTTTAAAAAGACAATCGTAAATTGGTGACTTCAGTCCGTGACGGTTTGTGGGGACGGTGCTGTGCACGATCGGCGGCCGCGTTTCCCCCACAAAAATACAGTCAATTTGCTTTACGGTGTGTTCTGCGAAGCGCTTTGAGACGTCTGGAAGCTCTGAGGATGCAGAGGATAATTATACTATTATACTCCTAATGCCCCCGTGTACCCCTGACACCACAAGCTCCTCTCCCCATATACCCCAACCCCTCATCTCACACACACCCGTCCTAACCCCCTCCCACACATCCCAAACCCTCTCCCCCACACCCTCCAACCCCGACCCCTCACCAGGTAAACTCCCCCAACCCCCTCTCACCACCACAGCCCCTCACCGGGGAAAGGAACCCCTCAATTGTTAATTCCACTCAGTAAAACCTTCCTGGTGTCTGTCCTGAGATAGTCCTTTACACCTCTAAACCTGTATCCTTGTTCTACGCTAAAAGAATTTAGGAGGAACTACTGTAGTCTACGCAGAGGGTAGTGAGATTGTGGAACTCAGGAACAAATTGATGATTGAAGTACTCCAATATGCCAGCGATGGGGAAGGGTACTACATAAATGCTCATGGTCGATTCTATTAAAGGTCTGAAGCTTGGCTATAAGTCTGGGTGAGAAGGCAGGTCTGTTATCTCTCTTGGCCAGAGCCAGCACTACGCAGCGTGACTCAGCACTTTACGCAGGAACTCTCAGAAAGCTCAGCATCGCCCCTCTAAGCTATGTCAGTAGCTGGAGCAGAGGAGGTCCATTCAGGCAAGGAGGCTCCTCACAGCTCATTCTCCCAGAGCACCCACCTTGCCTACAGTCATACACAATACAGCATCGAGATGCTTCAGAATTCTGATTAAGGAGAGTCCTGTAGCGTGTAGTGGTTAGCACACTAGTCTCACAAGCGAGAGGACTTGGGTTAGGTTCCTGGGCAGGGCAAGTTTCCTTACTCTGCTGGATCCATTCAAGACTGAAGTGTACAGATATTTGTTAGGTCATTTGTTATCAAGGGTGGGTAATCGGAGGTAATTATCAGCCATGATTTTATAGAATGGCGGAACAGACTCAAGAAGCCGAATGGCCTCTTCCTGTTCTTATGTTTAGACTGTGAGGACAAAGTCCTTCTGATCTCAGGGTGAGCGTTCTCCCGGTTGAGCTGAGCCAGCATTTGTAACCTGTATTTATACAATGAAAAGATAAACTGTTACCCTGGATTAGGGAATGATAAACCCAGCACAGAGTAGCCCCACTTCTCTCCCAGCAACGTGAATGGAGATTCGCTAAGCCTGTTTGTGGGCCAGCACTTTGGGACACACCGGGATTGGTTGAAGACTCTGTGTACTTAGTTGCACAATTGCGTTCATATCCAACAGAGGGACTGACGGCCAGGAGCAGCGAGCAAGCTGAGGAGAGACCATGGCTTCAGGAGCTAAAGTCAGTCTGTAGGGCCCCAGCAACCCTGAACCCTGTCAGCACTTGCTTAAGAATGTGACCATCAGAAATCTGTATCTGATGTTTTTGCTTTGTTTTGCAGCCGGTGCTCTACACCTATTTCAGGAGCTCATGTTCGTGGAGAGTTCGAATCGGTGAGAACCTGATCTGCCCCTGAAGTACCTCCCATTGTTTGTGTCCTCGTACTGGCCAATCATTTCACATAAACTGCCAGAAATAGTGCTGGGGCTCGCTCCCCCACTGGAGCTCTCTACTCTAACCCCATTCCCTGCTCTCTCTCTCCCCATAGTGTCTGTGCTGGGGTTCGCTCCCCCACTGGAGCTCTCTACTCTAACCCCATTCCGTGCTCTCTCTCTCTCTCTCCCCATGATGTCTGTGCTGGGGCTCGCTCCCCCACTGGAGCTCTCTACTCGAACCCCATTCCCTGCTTCTCTCTCCCAATCGGATCTGTGCTGGGGCTCGCTCCCCCACTGGAGTTCAGGGTGGGGGGGGAACGGTGAGGAGCCTGAGGGGTGAGGGGTTGTGAGAAGCTGGGGTTGGGGGGTGGGGGAGGAGGCAGGTTTAGACCTGTGCAGATTGTTAAAACGGTTTCTCCTCTCAGCCCTGGCTCTGAAGGGGATTGAATATGAACAGGTCGCAGTTCATCTGGTCAAAGATGGGGGACAGCAGGTAGGTGACATTACCCTCGTGCCTGCGCCCCCGAATCTCGCCTCTCAGTGCACACACACCAGTGGGTTTTGTGTGTTAATGAGCTTTGCTGGTCTCTGCAGCACGCCGAGGAGTTTAAGGTTGTCAATCCCATGAGGCAGGTACCGGCTCTCCACATCGATGGCATCACTATCTCCCAGTCGGTGAGTGAGCAACGACCGGGCACGGCGGGGGAGTCCTGTAGCTCAGTGGCTAGCGCGCTCGGCTCGCAAATGAGGGGACCTGGGTTCGATTCCCAGGCAGGGCGAAATGTTGGGCAAGTTTCCTTACTCCATACACATGCCTCTGTTTACCTGTCAGTAAAAAGGAACCCGGTTGGTTGTTAGTTGACTGGCGGATCGCTTTTCCGGGGGTAATAACCCCTTCAAAAATAATAAATAATAGTAATTTGGTCACTCAATCCATGACTGTTTGCGGGACACTGCTGTAAGCACTTGGCTGCCATACTTTCACCCACAAAATATACAGTCAATTAACTTTACAGTATATCCTATGATGTGATAAGGCGAAATATCAACTGAAAGGATTATTATTATTGTTATTATTATAGGGCCACGGCGGGGAAGGGCATCAGGGGGAGGGGATATTCGATATTAGATTCCAGCCGGGAGCTCACTCCCATTGTCTCAGTGAATTGAATCAGAGCAGATTGATTGGGCTTAAAGTTGTGCTGTAGCTCCGAGTCAGCAAGTGCTTGGGTCGGTGCCTGAGTGCCAGGGGAGGGAGGAGGGGCTGAGCGCTGGCGTGGGGAGGGGGAATGAGTACCAAAGGCAGGGTGACTGGGTGCGGGGGCCGGGTGACTGGGTGCGGAGGCCGGGTGACTGGGTGCGGAGGCCGGGTGACTGGGTGCGGGGGCCGGGTGACTGGGTGCGGAGGCCGGGTGACTGGGTGCGGAGGCCGGGTGACTGGGTGCGGAGGCCGGGTGACTGGGTGCGGAGGCCGGGTGACTGGGTGCGGAGGCCGGGTGACTGGGTGCGGAGGCCGGGTGACTGGGTGCGGAGGCCGGGTGACTGGGTGCGGAGGCCGGGTGACTGGGTGCGGAGGCCGGGTGACTGGGTGCGGAGGCCGGGTGACTGGGTGCGGAGGCCGGGTGACTGGGTGCGGAGGCCGGGTGACTGGGTGCGGGGGCAGGGTGACTTGTGCGGGGGCCGGGTGACTGGGTGCGGAGGCCGGGTGACAGGGTGCGGAGGCAGGGTGACTTGTGCGGGGGCCTGGTGACTGGGTGCGGAGGCCGGGTGACTGGGTGCGGAAGCCGGGTGACTGGGTGCGGAGGCAGGGTGACTTGTGCGGGGGCCGGGTGATTGGGTGCGGAGGCCGGGTGACTGGGTGCGGAGGCCGGGTGACTGGGTGCGGAGGCAGGGTGACTGGGTGCGGAGGCAGGGTGACTGGGTGCGGAGGCAGGGTGACTGGGTGCGGAGGCCGGGTGACTGGGTGCGGGGGCCGGGTGACTGGGTGCGGGGGCAGGGTGACTGGGTGCGGGGGCAGGGTGACTAGGTGCGGAGGCCGGGTGACTGGGTGCGGAGGCCGGGTGACTGGGTGCGGGGCAGGGTGACTGGGTGCGGGGGCAGGGTGACTGGGTGCGGGGGCCCGGGTGACTGGGTGCGGGGGCCGGGTGACTGGGTGCGGGGCCGGGTGACTGGGTGCGGGGGCCGGGTGACTGGGTGCGGAGGCCGGGTGACTGGGTGCGGAGGCCGGTGACTGGGTGCGGAGGCCGGGTGACTGGGTGCGGAGGCCGGTGACTGGGTGCGGGGGCCGGGTGACTGGGTGCGGGGCCAGGTGACTGGGTGCGGGGGCAGGGTGACTGGGTGCGGAGGCCGGGTGACTGGGTGCGGAGGCCGGGTGACTGGGTGCGGAGGCCGGGTGACTGGGTGCGAAGGCCGGGTGACTGGGTGCGGAGGCCGGTGACTGGGTGCGGGGGCCGGGTGACTGGGTGAGGAGGCCGGTGACTGGGTGCGGGGGCCGGGTGACTGGGTGCGGAGGCCGGGTGCGGGGGCCGGGTGACTGGGTGCGGGGGCCGGGTGACTGGGTGCGGGGCAGGGTGACTGGGTGCGGGGGCAGGGTGACTGGGTGCGGGGGCCGGGTGACTGGGTGCGGGGGCCGGGTGACTGGGTGCGGGGGCCGGGTGATTGGGTGCGGAGGCCGGTGACTGGGTGCGGGGGCCGGGTGACTGGGTGCGGGGGCCGGGTGACTGGGTGCGGAGGCCGGTGACTGGGTGCGGGGGCAGGGTGACTGGGTGCGGAGGCCGGTGACTGGGTGCGGGGGCCGGTGACTGGGTGCGGAGGCAGGGTGACTGGGTGCGGAGGCCGGTGACTGGGTGCGGGGCAGGGTGACTGGGTGCGGAGGCCGGTGACTGGGTGCGGGGGCCGGTGACTGGGTGCGGAGGCCGGGTGACTGGGTGCGGAGGCCGGTGACTGGGTGCGGGGGCCGGGTGACTGGGTGCGGGGGCCGGGTGATTGGGTGCGGGGGCCGGGTGACTGGGTGCGGGGGCCGGGTGACTGGGTGCGGGGGCCGGGTGATTGGGTGCGGGGGCCGGGTGACTGGGTGCGGGGGCCGGGTGACTGGGTGCGGGGGCAGGGTGACTGGGTGCGGGGGCAGGGTGACTGGGTGCGGGGGCCGGGTGACTGGGTGCGGGGGCCGGGTGACTGGGTGCGGAGGCCGGTGACTGGGTGCGGGGGCAGGGTGACTGGGTGCGGTGGCCGGTGACTGGGTGCGGGGGCAGGGTGACTGGGTGCGGGGGCCGGGTGACTGGGTGCGGGGGCAGGGTGACTGGGTGCGGGGGCCGGGTGACTGGGTGCGGGGGCCGGGTGACTGGGTGCGGGGGCCGGGTGACTGGGTGCGGGGGCCGGGTGACTGGGTGCGGAGGCCGGTGACTGGGTGCGGAGGCCGGGTAACTGGGTGCGGGGGCCGGGTGACTGGGTGCGGGGGCCGGGTGACTGGGTGCGGGGGCCGGGTGACTGGGTGCGGGGGCCGGGTGACTGGGTGCGGAGGCCGGGTAACTGGGTGCTGGGCTCTGTACCACAGTTGGCTATAATCCAATACCTGGACGAAACCCGGCCTGGACCTCAGCTCCTCCCTCAGGACAGCAAGAAGAGGGCAGAGGTTCGCATGATATCTGACCTCATCGCCTCCGGCATCCAGCCCCTGCAGGTATACCCCCCAACCCCCTCCCCTCCATCGAGCTTCTGCAAATACAGCCCCCGCCTCACTGACTCCCACACCCCACCCCGCCACTCCCACTGACTCCCCCCCCCCCCCCCCACTGCCTCCCCCTCCCGACTCACCCCCCCCACTGGCTCACCTGCCCCCACTGACTCACCCACCCCCAGACTCACCCCCCCCACTGACTCACCACCCCCCCCACTCACCCCCACCACTGACTCAACACCCCCCACTGGCTCACCCCGCCCCCACTGGCTCACCCGCCCCACTGACTCACCCGCCCCACTGACTCACCCCCCCCCCCACTGACTCACCCCCCCCACTGACTTATCCCACCCCACTCACCCCCCCCCACCGACTCAACCCCCCCCACTGACTTACCCCCGCCCCACTCACCCCCCACTGACTCACCCCCCCACCGACTCACCCCCCCCACTGACTCACCCCCCCACCGACTCACCCCACCCCCCACTCACCCCCCCCCACTGACTCACCCCCCCACCGACTCCCCCCACTCACCCCCCACCGACCCACCCCCCCCCCCACTGACTCCCCCCACCCCCCCACTCACTCCCCCCCACCGACTCACCCCCCCCCCCCACTGACTCCCCCTCTCCCGCCGCTATTGACTCTCGCTCGCTGTACAAATGGAATCTGTTGTTTTTGTCCCCAGAACCTGGCTGTTTTGCACCGAGTTGGTGAGGAGCAGCAGGAGGCCTGGGCTCACGACTTCATTGTCCAGGGTTTTGCAGGTCAGTGTGGGCCCCACGCTGGCCCAGGCTCACAGCACAACTCGCTGCCGCAGGCCTCACTCTCCCGCTAACGCAGGTGTGTTTTTCAGCTCTGGAGAGAGTCCTGCAGGACACGGCCGGTCGCTGCTGTGTTGGGGATGAGGTAAGTTCACAGTGATCAGGGTTGGGCTGTGGCCTGTGGTCATTGATCATCTTGGACACAAGTTGGCTGGTTGGCGCTCAGGGCCGCTGGTGGATGTAGCCTGAGCTCCCAGCACCGGGAGTGCAGCTCAGTGAGTCAGGTGTGTGAGCCACGAAGCTGTCTGTCTCTGAACCTTGCTGTGTCCGTGTGTCTGTCTGTGAGCCGTGTGTCTGTCTGTCACTGAAGGTCACTGAGCTGTGCTGTGTCTACAGGTGACCATGGCTGACATGTGCCTGGTGCCACAGGTGTTCAACGCCACCAGGTGGGTAAGAGGTGCCTCACGCCAACCCACTTCCTCCTTCAGCTGCCAGAGGCCGAGGGGGTCACTGAGAGGGGAGGGTGGGGGCGGCATGCGTGGTTGGGTGGGCGAGGGCATGAGGTGGCGAGCGCGGTGGGGGTGGGCTAGCGAGAGCAGGTGTGGTGGATGAGAGCTTCTAACTTGTGCTCTTGCTGCAGGAGGTTTAAAGTGGACATGACTCCGTTTCCCACCATCGCGAGGATTAACAAAGCTCTGTTAGAGCTGAAGGCATTTAAAGTGAGTGAGCCGTCCTGCCAGCCCGACACCCCCGCCGAGCAGCGAGCCTGACTGGGGCCCGGGCTGGGGAGCGGAGGCCACGGAGAGGGAGCGGAGGACAGGGAGCTGACAGCAAACTCCCACCTCAGCATTAAGAGCTGCTGCTCAACAATACGGTGTTTATATAGCGTCCGTCACCCGAGGCCGAGGCTCATTCCCTCAGCCGCTAAGATGGTGGGATGTCAGGCGAGGAGCATCCTGGCCAATCACAAACATCCCACAGGAGACTCCTACCCGGTGGTTCTGTCTGTCCACACGCGGTGATTGAATCATTTGTTGCTGTGATTGACTTAAGAATAAAACAAAATTTTGAAACGAATCGGAGTGGAATCAGAGGCGCGCGCTCGCTCTTGCACACACAGAGTCCTGTCTTTCTCTCTCTCTCTCACACACGCACACAGAGCGCCGTCTCTCTCTCTCACACATACACACACACAGCGCCGTCTCTCTCGCGCGCGCACACAGAGCGCCGTCTCTCTCGCGCGCACACACAGAGCGCCGTCTCTCTCACGCGCACACACAGAGCGCCGTCTCTCTCTCACACACATACACACACACAGCGTCGTCCCGCGCGCGCACATAGAGCGCCGTCTCTCTCGCGCGCACACACAGAGCGCCGTCTCTCTCGCGCGCGCACACAGAGCGCCGTCTCTCTCGCGCGCACACACAGCACTGTCTTTTTCACACGCACACGCACAGCACTGTCTCTCACGCACACACAAGAGAGGGCTGTCTTTCCCGCACACGTGGGCAGAGCGCTGGCACTAGCACACGCGCACACAGTGCCATCGCTCTCTCTCTCACACAAACCCAGAGCGGCTCAGTAATCAGCTGTTTAATGATGTCAGTGGATGGCCAGTGTGAGAGGCCACAGTGTACAATAACAGTGAATGTCAGAGTGACAGGGAGAGAGACTCTGAGTCACCAAGAGGGGAGGGGTAGGAGCAGGGCCAGGGCTGAGGGCACAGGGCGGGGGCACAAGGTGGGGGCTGAGGGCACAGCCACAGGGCGGGGGCACAGGGTGGGGGCTGAGGGCACAGCCACAGGGCGGGGGCTGAGGGCACAGAGCGGGGGCTAAGGGCACAGGCTGAGGGCAAAGGGCGGGGGCTGAGGGCACAAGGTGGGGGCTGAGGGCACAGGGCGGGGGCTGAGGGCACAGGGCGGGGGCTGAGGGCACAGAGCGGGGGCTGAAGGCACAGGGCGGGGGCTGAGGGCACAGGGCGGGGGCTATCAGGGGCTCTGGGGTTCGGGCAGCTCCAGCGTCACACGGATCGTGTCGTTGTAAAATGTCCCGTCGTTGTCAGAGCCGCCGAACAGCAGCAGCCGCCGCCCGTGTGTGTGAGCGCCGGTGTGAGCGAGGCGGGGGGGCAGCCTCACCACACTGTGACCGGCCCGCGGCACCACACACAGGCCCTCGGCACACACTCTGCTCCAGTTACACGTGTCTGTGAACACAACACAAACACTGTCAGATCATTGAGGGATCGCTTTCCTTGAAAATTGTGTGTGAGAGAGAGACGCAGCTCTGTGTGTGTGTGTGTGTGTGTGAGAGACACAGCTCTGTGTGTGTGTGTGTGAGAGAGAGACGCAGCTCTGTGTGTGTGTGAGACAGACGCAGCTCTGTGTGTGTGTGTGTGAGAGAGAGACGCAGCTCTGTGTGTGTGTGTGTGAGACAGACGCAGCTCTGTGTGTGTGTGTGAGAGAGAGACGCAGCTCTGTGTATGTGTGTGTGTGTGTGAGAGAGAGACGCAGCTCTGTGTGTGTGTGTGTGTGTGAGAGGCGCAGCTCTGTGTGTGTGTGTGAGAGGCGCAGCTCTGTGTGTGTGAGAGAGAGACTCAGCTCTGTGTGTGTGAGAGAGACGCAGCTCTGTGTATGTGTGTGTGTGTGTGAGAGAGAGACGCAGCTCTGTGTGTGTGTGTGTGTGTGTGTGTGAGAGGCGCAGCTCTGTGTGTGTGTGTGAGAGGCGCAGCTCTGTGTGTGTGAGAGAGAGACTCAGCTCTGTGTGTGTGAGAGAGACGCAGCTCTGTGTGTGTGTGTGTGAGAGAGAGACTCAGCTCTGTGTGTGTGTGTGTGAGACTCAGCTCTGTGTGTGTGTGTGTGTGTGTGAGAGAGAGACTCAGCTCTGTGTGTGTGTGTGTGTGAGAGAGACTCAGCTCTGTGTGTGTGTGTGTGTGAGAGAGAGACTCAGCTCTGTGTGTGAGAGAGACGCAGCTGTGTGTGTGTGTGAGAGAGAGAGACTCAGCTCTGTGTGTGTGTGAGAGAGAGAGACTCAGCTCTGTGTGTGTGTGAGAGACGCAGCTCTGTGTGTGTGTGTGAGAGACGCAGCTCTGTGTGTGTGTGTGAGAGACGCAGCTCTGTGTGTGTGTGTGAGAGACGCAGCTCTGTGTGTGTGTGTGAGAGACGCAGCTCTGTGTGTGTGTGTGTGCGCCCACGAGAGAGACGACACTTGAAAATTAAAAAAAAATTGATCATTCAATCCACGACTGTTTGAGCGCACAGTCCCTTGCTGTGTGCCGCGTTTCGCCCACAAAAATACAGTCAATTCACTTTACAATATATTCTGTGAAGGCGCTATATCAAATGCAAGGATTATTATTATAATTATTATAATTATTATTATTACACAACAGCTTGCATTTATAGTGCGCCCTTCATGTCGGATAGTGTCTCGGAGCTTAACAGTGGCGGAGCCCGATGCTGAGCCAGGGGGAGGGGGAAGGTGACCATAGGTTCGGTCGAAGAGGAAGGTCTTCAAGAGCGACCTGAAATGGGGAGGGGGGGGGAAGGCGAAGGGATTGAGGGAGAGAGTACCACAGCTTTGGGGCGTAGTGGCTGAAAGCACGGCTGCCAATGGTGGGGCGGAGGGTCCGGGGGACAAGGAGGCACTGGAGCCAGTCAAGTGGAGTAGTGTAGGGAGAGAGCAGGTTGGGGAGAGAGAGAGAGAGTGGGGGGTGGGGGGGGCTGTCAAGGCGTGAAGGGATTTAAATGCACGAGTGAGGATCTTGAAATCGATCCGCTCTGTGACTGGGAGCCAATGGAGTTTGACAAGGACTGGGGTATCGGAGGTACGGAGTTTAGTTTGGGTGAGAATGTGGGCGCGGAGTTTTGAATGAGTTAATAGTGGAGCAGGGGAGACCCGCGAGGAAGGTGTTTCAATAGGCAAGGCAGGAAGTGACAAAGGCGGGGACGAGGGTTTCAGCAGCTTATGGAGTGAGGTATGGATGGAGGTGGGCAGGAAATGTGGCAGAGGTGGAGGAAAGTGGTCCTGTTGTGGGGTATGAAGGACAGCTGGGGGTCGAACCTGACCCTACGTTGCTCACGGGTTCGGTGAGTCAGGGAGGGGGCAGGTGGGGTGAGGGAAGGAGGGAGGGGCAGGCGGGGGGAGGGAGGAAGGGAGGGGGCAGGCGGGGGGAGGGGGCTGACGTACCGATGTTGAAGGTGAAGAGGTCCTGTAGGCCCCCGTTCGGGTTCCAGCCGCCACTAATCAGCACCGAGTTCATTGTCATAGCCACAGCCGCGTGCCAGCTACCAGACACCAGGCAGTTACATCCTACACACCGCCCCGCCCCGGCCAACCCCACCCACACCGCCCCCGCCCCGGCCAGCCCCACCCACACCGCCCCCCGCCCCGGCCAGCCCCACCCACACCACCCCCGCCCCGCCCACACCGCCCCCGCCCCGGCCAGCCCCACCCACACCGCCCCCCGCCCCGGCCAACCCCACCCACACCGCTCCCGCCCCGGCCAGCCCCACCCACACCACCCCCGCCCCCCCCGCCAGCCCCACCCACACCACCCCCGCCCCCCCGCCAGCCCCACCCACACCGCCCCCGCCCCGGCCAGCCCCACCCACACCGCTCCCGCCCCGGCCAGCCCACCCACACCGCCCCCGCCCCGGCCAGCCCCACCCACACCGCCCCCGCCCCGGCCAGCCCCACCCACACCCCCCCGCCCCCCGCCAGCCCCACCCACACCACCCCCGCCCCGGCCAGCCCCACCCACACCGGCCCCCCCCGGCCAGCCCCACCACACCGCCCCCGCCCCGGCCACACCGCCCCCGCCCCGGCCAGCCCCACCCACACCGCCCCCGCCCCGGCCACCCCACCCACACCGCCCCCGCCCCCGCCAGCCCCACCCACACCGCCCCCGCCCGGCCAGCCCCACCCACACCGCCCCCGCCCCGGCCAGCCCCACCACACCGCCCCCCCCCCGGCCAGCCCCACCCACACCGCCCCCGCCCCGGCCAGCCCCACCCACACCGCCCCCGCCCCGGCCAGCCCCACCCACACCGCCCCCGCCCCGGCCAGCCCCACCCACACCGCCCCGCCCCGGCCAGCCCCACCCACACCGCCCCGCCCCGGCCAGCCCCACCCACTCCGGCCCCCGCCCCCGGCCAGCCCCACCCACACCCCCGCCCCGCCAGCCCCACCACACCGCCCCCGCCCCCGCCAGCCCCACCCACACCGCCCCCGCCCCGGCCAGCCCCACCCACACCGCCCCCGCCCCACCCACACCGCCCCCGCCCCGGCCAGCCCCACCCACACCGCCCCCGCCCCGGCCAGCCCCACCCACACCGCCCCCGCCCGGCCAGCCCCCACCCACACCGCCCCCGCCCCGGCCAGCCCCACCCACACCGCCCCCGCCCGGCCAGCCCCACCCACACCGCCCCCGCCCCGGCCAGCCCCACCCACACCGCCCCCGCCCCGGCCAGCCCCACCCACACCGCCCCCGCCCCGGCCAGCCCCACCCACACCGCCCCCGCCCCCCCCCCCCCCCCCCCCGCCCCCCCCGCCAGCCCCACCCACACCGCCCCCCGCCAGCCCCACCCACACCGCCCCCCACCCGGCCAGCCCCACCCACACCGCCCCCGCCCCGGCCAGCCCCACCCACACCGCCCCGGCCAGCCCCACCCACACCGCCCCCGCCCCGGCCAGCTCCACCCACACCGCCCCCGCCCCGGCCAGCCCCACCCACACCGCCCCCGCCCCGGCCAACCCCACCCACACCGCCCCCGCCCCGGCCAGCCCCACCCACACCGCCCCCGCCCCGCCCACACCGCCCCCGCCCCGGCCAGCCCCACCCACACCGCCCCCGCCAGCCCCACCCACACCGCCCCGGCCAGCCCCACCCACACCGCCCCGGCCAGCCCCACCCACACCGCCCCCTCCCCGGCCAGCCCCACCCACATCGCCCCCCCCCGGCCAGACTCACCCACACCGCCCCCGCCCGGCCAGCCCCACCCACACCGCCCCCTCCCCGGCCAGCCCCACCCACACCGCCCCCACCAGCCCCACCCACACCGCCCCCGCCCCGACCAGGCTCCCCCACTGCCCCCTCACCGGCCAGCACCCCCCACCCACACACTGCCCCACCCCTTCAGCTCGGGTCCCAGCACACCCAGCAACCGGGTGATTCCAGTGGGGGATGCTCACCATCGCGGTGTTGGAGCCCCGGAGGCCGTCAGCTGTGAGAACTCCATTAGCCCTGGGGAGGAATAAAATAGTAACTATAATCAACCTGTCCACTCCCTCTGCTCAGCAGGCTCCGGCCCAGCTCCATGTCCCCCGCCATCCGCAGTCGGGGCCTTCAGCCTCTCTGCCCCCACTCTCTGTAACTCCATCCCACATTCCCTTCGGCTCGCACGCTCCCTTTCCTCCTTCAAGACACTCCTCAAGACCCTCATCTTCGACCATGCCTTCGACCACCATCCCACCCTCTCTGCCCTCCACCCTCTCTGCCCTCCACCCTCCCTGATCCCCACCCCCACCACAGGTCGGGTCCTAATCCCTGACTGTTCAGCGCCTTGGGATGTCCTCCCGATGCGAAACTCGCTTTACAAATGTAATTTTGTATTGTACAATAATAATCCTCGGATGTGATACAGCGCCTCATCACGTCTTCGAGACATCTCAAAGCGCTTCACAGAATATACTGTAATGTGTAGTGATTGTATACTTTGTGAGCGAAACGCGGCAGCCATTTGTGCACAGTAGCGTCCCACAAACAGTCGTTCCCGGGTGCGGGGACGGAGGGGTTCCCGGGTGCGGGGACGGAGGGGTTCCCGGGTGCGGGGACGGAGGGGTTCCCGGGTGCGGGGACGGAGGGGTTCCCGGGTGCGGGGACGGAGGGGTTCCCGGGTGCGGGGACGGAGGGGTTCCCGGGTGCGGGGGGAGGGGTTCCCGGGTGCGGGGGGGAGGGGTTCCCGGATGCGGGGGGTCTTACCAAGATCCAGCATGTGCAGGTCATTCAGACACACACGGCCGCTGTAGCCCCCAAACAGCAGCAACGATTTGCCCAGGAGAGTGGCCGTGTGCCTGTGGACATGAGACAGAGCCTGAGCCCTGCTCTCAACCTGAGTTCGCACCCTTTCCCCCACAGCCTGAACCCTCCTCATCCCCTCGACCTGTGCCCCCCACTGGTTTGTGCCCCCTCCCCGAGCCTGAGCAGACCCCCACCAGCCTGTAACCCCTCCCCGAGCCCCCAGTGTGTGGACACTGACCCGCAGCGAGCCGGTGGCCTGTGGCCCCCCACGATGGGCTGGTACCAGATGTGATGCTCGGGGTTGAAGATGTAGAGAGCGTTACTGCAGCTGTGCCGCCCCCCCGGCCCCACCACGAGCCCCCCGAATACCAGCAGCTCCCCCCCAAACACCGCTGCGCTGTGATACGCCAGTGTGGGGACCCTGCCCTGGCCCTACCCGAGAGAGAGAGAGAGAGAGAGGGTGAGAGACACAGAGAGAGAGAGTAAGTGTGTGTGAGAAGGAGCGAGCGCGAGCGAGACAGAGAGAGAGCGAATGAGACAAAGCGAGAGAGACAGAGCGAGACAGAGCAAGAGCCCGAGCAAGACAGAGCGAGACAGAGAGCGAGCGAGCGAGCGACAGAGAGAGAGCGAGCGAGCGACAGAGAGAGAGCGAGCGAGCGACAGAGAGAGAGCGAGCGAGCGACAGAGAGAGAGCGAGCGAGCGACAGAGAGAGAGCGAGCGAGCGAGCGACAGAGAGAGAGCGAGCGAGCGAGCGAGCGAGCGAGAGAGAGAGAGCGAGCGAGCGAGCCAGAGAGCGAGCGAGCGAGCCAGAGAGTGAGCGAGCGAGCCAGAGCGAGCGAGCCAGAGAGCGAGCGAGCGAGCCAGAGAGCGAGCGAGCGAGCCAGAGAGCGAGCGAGCGAGCCAGAGAGCGAGCGAGCGAGCCAGAGAGCGAGCGAGCGAGCGACAGAGAGCGAGCGAGCCAGAGAGCGAGCGACAGAGAGCGAGCGAGCCAGAGAGCGAGCGAGCCAGAGAGCGAGCGAGCCAGAGAGCGAGCGAGCCAGAGAGCGAGCGAGCCAGAGAGCGAGCGAGCCAGAGAGCGAGCGAGCCAGAGAGCGAGCGAGCCAGAGAGCGAGCGAGCCAGAGAGAGAGCGAGCCAGAGAGCGAGCGAGCCAGAGAGCGAGCGAGACAGAGAGCGAGCGAGACAGAGAGCGAGACAGAGAGAGCGAGACAGAAAGAGCGAGACAGAAAGAGCGAGTGAGTGAGAGAGAGCAAGAGTGAGTGGGTGTGAGAGAAAGAGAGAGAGTGTGAGAGAGAAAATAAAAGGTGTGAACGTTGAACGCAGGGAAGACTGACCATCACGTGTGACCACTTCCAGGTCAGCGTATCCAGGATGTAGATACGGTTAAACCGTTCCCCGTTGTTCTTTCCCCCAAACACGTAAATGCGGTGGGTGTCGGGGTCGTGGGTGGCGGTGTGACCGCGGGCACCGGGGGGCAGAGAGGGGACACCAGCCAACGGGAACCAGAAATCATCACCATCATCTGCAGGACATCACAGAGAGTCTCTAACCCTGACCTGGGAGTGTGGACGCACAGTGTAGAGGGAGCGTTACTGTGTCTCTAACCCTGACCTGGGAGTGTGGACACACAGTGTAGAGGGAGCGTTACTGTGTCTCTAACCCGTGCAGTGGGGGCGCACAGTGTAGAGGGAGCGTTACGGTGTCTCTAACCCGTGCAGTGGGGGCGCGGGGGGGGAACTCACTGATCTCCAGTTTCCACACTGCATCGTGACAGCACTGCTGCCCCGGCCCTGCGCCCCCAATGAGGATCACTGTGTCCGGGTCAGTCACACACAGCGTGTGACCCCAGCGAGGGCTCGGGCACACTGCAGGGGGGAAACACAGCAGGTATTAACACAGGGGCTCACACACACACACTCACCCCCCCCGCCCACACTCACCCCCCCCGCACACACTCACCCCCGCGCACACTCACACCCCCCGCACACACTCACCCCCCCCCGCACACACTCACCCCCCCCCGCACACACTCACCCCCCCGCACACTCACCCCCCCGCGCGCACACTCACCCCCCACACACACTCACACCCCACACACACTCACACCCCCCACACACACACTCACACCCCCCCACCCACACACTCACCCCCCCACACACACACTCACCCTCAACACACACACTCACCCCCAACACACACACTCACCCCCAACACACACACTCACCCCCCCACCCACACACTCACCCCCCCGCACACACTCACCCCCGCGCACACTCACCCCCCCGCGCGCACACTCACCCCCCCGCGCGCACACTCACCCCCCCGCGCGCACACTCACCCCCCCGCGCGCACACTCACCCCCCCGCGCGCACACTCACCCCCCACACACACTCACACCCCCCACACACACTCACACCCCCCCACCCACACACTCACCCCCCACCCACACTCACACCCCCCACACACACTCACACCCCCCCACCCACACACTCACCCCCCCACCCACACTCACACCCCCCACACACACTCACACCCCCCACACACACTCACACCCCCCACACACACACACTCACCCCCCACACACACACTCACCCCCCACACACACTCACACCCCCCACACACACTCACACCCCCCCACCCACACACTCACCCCCCCACCCACACACTCACCCCCCACACACACACTCACCCTCCCACATATACACTCACCCCCCACACACACACTCACCCCCCACACACACACTCACCCCCCCCACACACTCACCCTCCCACATATACACTCACCCCCCCACATATACACTCACCCCCCACACACACACTCACCCCCACACACACACTCACCCCCCCCACACACTCACCCTCCCACATATACACTCACCCCCCCACATATACACTCACCCCCACACACACACTCACCCCCCACACACATACTCACCCCCCACACACATACTCACCCCCCCACACACACTCACACATACACACACACTCACACATACACACATACATTCATACACAGAGCCACCCTTACTTTGCCCACACATTGGCTCCACCTTTACCCCTGCCATGCCCACCCCTGCCATAGCCAAGCCCCGCCTTACCCAGCTCCGCCCTGCCCAGGCCGCTGCCTTGTGGGCTCCCGGTGTGGTTGGCCTCCTGTCGCCCAAGGACCATGTGTTGTGTCGGCTCCTGCAGTGCGCGGGGCTGGAGACAGAGTCAGTCAGTCTGTCAGCCTGAGCCTCCTGCCTGCCCGTCCCACACAGACCCTCCGGGAGAGTGAGGACCATGTCTGCCCAGGGCCCCCAGGTTCCCAGCCTGTGTCTGGTCACTGAGCCACACAAGGGATATGGAGTCAGAAGATCCGGGTTCAAAGCCGTGTCGGGGTCTTTGCCCACAGACCAGGCTGTGGGGGGGGGGGGGGCAGGGGTCGCTGTGATTGCTACAAACCACAGCCACAAAGGCGCTCAGAGAGACACGCTGGCTTTCTCCAAAAATAATAATAATTTGGTCACTCAATCCACGACTGTTTGTGGGACGCTGCTGTGCGCAATTGGCTGCTGCGTTTCACCCTCAAAATACAAAGTCAATTCACTTACAGTATATTCTGTGAAGCGCTTTGAGACGTCTCGAGGACGTGATAAGTTGCCATATCAAATGCAAGGCTTATTATTATAAATAATCCTCACTTTCAATATAGCGCTCACATCGTTGAGAAAACGCACATAGCTTCAGTGCAGATCCCACGCGCGGCATTTAACAGCTCATCCCCCAATCTGGGCACTCCCCCCCCACACACACACACTGCCCTGGAGCCTCAGCTTCCTCTGTGGGGTTTGAAACCACAACCTCGTGTGTACCTGGCAGTTGAATTTGCAGCAGCCAATCCATACAGAGCTACAAACAGCCAATAACCTAGGACTGGTCATGGCAGAGATGCCCTCCTCTCTGACTGTGCCTGTGGTCACCTCCCCACCCCCCCCCCCGAACCCCCACCCCGACCCCCCCGGTGTCTGGCACAAGAGGCGCTGTGTGAATACAGCTGGAGGTGTGATCACTGTAACCCTGACATTGGAAAGGCCACAACACAGCAAAGAGCCATCGGGGCTCAGGAGCCAGAACCGTCTCTGAGTCAGAAACCCCCTCCCCACCCCCGAGCAGCCACTCACCGTGAGGGAGGAGCCGGGGTGGGGGCCGGAGTCAGGGCTGAGGAGAAGGGGTGAGATGTCACCCAGCAGTCTCACCAGGGCGGGGTCCAGGTCCACACGCTTTCTGGCCGTCAGGACAGGGGTGCTGCTCGAGAAGCCAGACTGCCTCCCCTGCCAGGGCACAAACGGAAGAATCTCTGCCCGCGACACCTCCCACTCCCCTTGCTCCCCCCCCTCCCCCCCATCATCTTGCTTCCCTCCACTCCCTGGATTCCCATCCATGTCACCCTCCCCATCCCTCTCCCACCTCTGGACTCCTTGTCCTCCCCCCACTTGTTTCAACCATCCCCTGCCCCTGCCCTTCCCTCCCCCAGCACATGGACATGGATTGTTTGGTATTGTGTACAATGGGATGGGAGTGAATGGAAGAGTTGTGTCCATGTTAGCCTGTGAGCTCTCAATGAGCTCTACCATTGACGCACTGGTTCCTACCTGGCCACTGGTGATCAGCAGTGTCCACAGACTGCCTCGCTCAGCCTCCTCCACAGCAGTGCTCAGAATGTCTCTGCTCCAATCGCCCTCCCACACCAGGCACCTTCCAGAGAAACATCATAACAACAACTTAACATAACATTTAGGAGCAGGAGTAGGCCGTTCGGCCCTTGTAGCCTGCCCCACCTTCAATCATGGCTGATCTTCTAATCTAACTCCAGCTAATAACATATTGCATTTATATAGCACCCTTCACATGGGACAGCGTCCCGGAGCTCTTCACAGTGGTAGAGTCTAACAACGAGCCAAGAGGAGAGGCAGGTGACCGTAAGTACCATCAAAAAGGAAGGTCTGGAGGTGACAATGCGGAGGAATCGAGGGAGAGATTTCCAGAGTTTCTGGGCATAGTGGGTTAAGGCGCAACCACCGATGGTAGAGCAGTGGGAGCCGAGCGGAGACAGTGGGAGGTAGAGTGGGTGTAAGCAGGTCGGAGAGGCAATAAGGAGTGCGAAGGAATTAAGTGCTTTAAAAANTCAACACAACAAGCCAAAACACCTTTGAGGCTGCTGATATTCATATGGACTCCAGTCAGAGACAGTCTGCAAGAGAGAACCTCGCCTCAGCTCATGACAGTCATTCAAGGCCTAATGTCCCCATTTGACCTGAATTCAACCCCACGCACAGACCAAAGCATCGTGTGATTACCTCAGTGATGATCCATTCAACACACAATAAACAGTGGCAGAGTATCTTCTCAGGGGCATTGTCCAGAGATCCTGAGCTCAGTGTACAACTTGAGTTTGTCCTTGTCCAGATATAATAAATAATAATAATAATCCTTGCATTTGATATAGCACCTTATCATGTCTTCAAGACATCTCAAAGCCCTTCACAGAATATACTGTAAAGTGAATTGACTCTAATATATTATGGGTGAAACGTGGCAGCCAATTGCACACAGCAGTGTCCCACAAACAGTTGTTGTTTAAGTGAACAAATTATTATTATTGTTTTATTTCAGGTGAGAACAACAACAAGCTCAAGGATAAATATCCTCCAATTAATCTATCATTCACTTTGTAGCTGGAGGTGGGACTCTGCTGTGCAAATTAGCTGCTGATTTCACCGACAAATACAATCGCTACACTGGTCAACAGTTGTCTGGTAGACATTGAGACTATGACTAGGCCTTTCACCCTCTCTCCCTTCAAATCCTGCCTAAGTACCTTCCTTTTTGATCGTGCTTGTGGTCCTCTTCCCCTTCCCTCTTCTCGGCTCGTTGTCAGACTCCATTACTGTCAAGCACTCCATGACACTATACAATTGCAAGTTGTTGTTGACACTGTCTCACTCTGTGGTCAGAATGTCTCTTCTCCAGACCCCCTGTATCACTGACTCCCTTCTCCACACCATATCAAAGGCAAAGATTACCACATGTCGGACAGTGTCTTTTCTTACCTGGTGTCCGATGAAAGTGACCCGATCTTCTGAGCTTTTACTTCGGGACTCACAGACACCTCGACCGAGAGGTAGGTCTCCTCTGTGTGCAGACCCCAGTTCCCCAGGCCAAAAACCACCAGCTGCTTTGGGAGAGGCAAGGGCAACTGGCAGTGGAAGTAAGAGCCATGAAATTTACTGTAAAATACAGGAAAGGATCAGAGCTTTAATATCTCCAGAGACATCACCTTCAATCTCCCACCATTCCCTGATGTTTTCTTATCTACTGCATTCTCGGACTTAATCATAACCTAATCATTAACTTGGTGGCTGTTTGGGGGACATGGTTGCGAGCAAATTGGCTTACAAAATGGACAGTCACTACACTGCACGTTATATCCTGTGAAGCACTTAGAGACGACCTTCTGACAGGAAAGGTGCTATGACATGTGTAAGGATTGCTATTATTAGAATGTTTTGACAATAATCATCCATGGAAGCAACAGACAAATCAGCTTTCACTTCTGCTTCTCCAGTAATTCAAGTGCCTGTAAAATAGCCGCCCCCTCCCGAGCAAACTTTAGTTCTATTTTGAATTATATTCAATTCAGCACAAAATTGCCAAAGCTTATATTTCCCGGCACAGACAGGGTCCTTTCTGCATTCTTAAATTCTAATTTCTCTTGGACATTTTTGTGGGGTATTGTAAGACAACACAGACAAAAATATCAGGGCAACTTTGAATTCAGTTTAGTCTAATTTTTTGTTGTTTGTTTTTATTTTATGGAGTCCTGTAGCTCAGTGGTTAGAGCACTCGCTTTGCAAGTGAGAGACCTGAGTTCAATCCCCGGGGGGTCAGGGCCAAACCTCGGGCAAGTTTCCTTACTCCACACAGAGCCTAATAATAATCCCTCCAAAACAAACAATAATAAATTGGTCATTTTCAATCTACGAGTGTTTGTGGGACATTGCTGTGCGCAATTGGCTGCCGCGTTCGCCCACAAATATACAGTCAATTCACTTTACAGTGTGTTCTGTGAAGCGCTTTGGGACGTCCTCCCGACGTGAAAAGCGCTATATCAAATGCAAGGATTATTATTATTATTATTTTGTTAATAGCCCCCCCGAATATTACATTTCACCTGAATAACCGCACAGGCGGTTCAGTGAGTGAAACAACCGCATAAAACTCCATCTGGCCTGCAGCTCCCGCACTCAGGCTTGGCGCCGTGATGGGGGGCAATTCAAACCTCCCGCCACCGCCTGGCTGTCGCTAGGCACGAAGGGAGCAGCGTGGCGCCCTAATCACGTGACAGGGACCCAGACAGTAGTGGGGCTTGATCACGTGACGAGCGTCCACACACCACCGCCACCCGGATCACGTGTCGGGGGGGTGGCTGCAGTGGGCGGGAGCGGGGTTGCCAGGGAACAGTGCCTCGCCTCAGGCCCAGCGCCTTCCCCAGTGACGCTCTGACTCTCAAACAGCCATTTGCCCACATGTTAAAGTCAGTGGTTTTACCATTTACCTTCTGCCCATCAGTCAGTGTCCGGGTTCCAGGTCAGGAGGCCGTGACTCTGAGCTCACAGTCCAGGCTGGCGCCGGGGGGTGGGGGTGGGGGCCGCATCCTCAGAGACGCCGTCCTTCAGATGGGACGTTAACCCGCGCTCCGGTCTCAGCCCCTTCAGCAGGCGGCAAAGATCCCGCAGCGCCGTCAGGGAAACGGCTGGGGGTTTGCCCCTCTCTCCCGGTGACATGGCCAACAGTCGTTTACTCACTGCATAGCTGTTTGCGGGACTTCGCTGCACACAAACCGGCCGCTCGCCAACACACCTACAGTCAAATACACTTCACTGTGAAGCCTGGGACGCGCTTCGAGGCGTCCTCCCAACACGAAGGGTGCAATATCAAACATAACCATTGTTGTTCTATATGTTAATTCCCTGAACTTTTCCCCCAAAACTGTTCAATGGTTTCAAATGGAAAAAACATAATAAAGAACAGCCATCACGCATTTCAAAAAGGAAGGTCAGGCTTGACCAACCTCATTGTGGAGTCCTGTAGCTCAGTGGTTAGAGCACTCGCTTTGCAAGCGAGAGACCTGAGTTCAATTCCAGGCAGAGGGCGAAACCTTGGGCAAGTTTCCTTACTCCACACAGAGCCTAATAATAATCCCTCCAAAACCCAAAACAATAATAAATTGGTCATTTTCAATCTACGACTGTTTGTGGGACATTGCTGTGCGCAATCGGCTGCCGCGTTCGCCCACAAATATACAGTCAATTCACTTTACAGTGTGTTCTGTGAAGCGCTTTGGGACGTCCTCCCGACGTGAAAAGCGCAATATCAAATGCAAGGATTATTATCATTATTATTATTGAGTTCTTTGAGAGAACTCTTTGAGAGAGAATAGACAAAGGGAATGCGGTAGATGTAATGTATTGAGATTTCCAAAAGGCGTTTGATAAGGGACCGTATAACAGACTAATGAACAGGGTCAGAGCATCTGGAGTCAGGGAAAAAATAGCAGAATGGATAGCAAACTGCTGCAAAACAGCAAACAGAGAGTAGGGGTAAAGGGCAGCTACTCAGACTGGCAGGGGGTGGGCAGTGGTGATCCACAAGGATCGGTATTGGGGCTCACTGTTGACTCGGGAATCAGCCGTACAATTTCAAAATTTGCGGACGACACCAAATTTGGTGGGAGTAGTTAATACAGAGGAGGGCAGCAACAAATTACAGCAAGACATCAAAAAACTTGCTGAGTGGGCATTTAAATGGTAAATGCATTTCAATGTAGAAAAGTGTGAGGTGCTACATTTTGGTAGAAAGAATAAGGAAGTCACATACATCCTGGAAAATAAAAACCTAAATGGGGTAGAGGAGCAAAGGGACCGAGGGGTAAACATACACAATTCACTAAAAGTAGCAACGGAGGCCATAAAATAGGCAAACCAGGCATTGGGGTTCATTTCTAGAGGGATAGAAATGGAAAGCAGGGAAGTTATAAGGACATAGGAACATAGGAATTAGGAGCAGGAGTAGGCCATTCGGCCCCTCAAGCCTGTGCCCTGCCATTCGATAAGATCCTGGCTGATCTTCAGACCTAACTCTAATTACCTGCCCTATCCCCATATCCCCTAATCCCTCTTTTTTTTAAAAAATCTATCAGTCTCAGCCTTGAAAATGTTCAAAGACTGAGCATCTACAGCCTTCTGGAGTAGTGAATTCCATAAATTCTGAGTGAAGAAATGTTTCCTCAACTCTGTTCTAAAAGGCTGACCCTTAATCTTAAGACTGTGACCCCTGGTTATAGATTCTCCTACCGGGGAAACAGACCCTCAGTGTCTACTTTATCAGCCCTTTAAGAATCTTATATGTTTCAATAAGATCCCCCCTAATTCTTTTGTACTCTAGAGAATACAGCCCTAGTTTATTCAGCCTCTCCTCATAGGTCAGTCCCCTCATCCCAGGAACTAACCCAGTGAATCTACGCTGCACCCCCTCGAGGGCAAGTAAATAAGGAGACCAAAACTGCACACAATACTCTCGGTGCGGTCTCACCAAGGCCCTATACAGTTGCAGCAAGACTTCCCTACTCTTGTACTCTTATGATAAACTATAGAGCCTTGGTTAGACCAAACTTAGAATACTATGTGCAGTTCTGGTCCCCACATTATAGAAGAGATGTAGAGGCAATGGAGAGAGTGCAAAGGAGATTCACAAGGCTGATCCCAGAACTGTGAGGTTATACCTATCAGGAAAGGCTAAACATACTTGGACTCTTTCCTCTTGAAAAGAGGAGGGTAAGGGGTGACCTGATAGAGGTCTTTAAAATGATGAACGGTTTTGATAGGGTAGACATAGGGAAGATGTTTTCGCTTTGGGGGAGACCAAAACCAGGGGCCATCAATATAGTCACAAATAGATCAAATAGGGAAGTTAGAAGAAATTTCTTTACACAGAGAGTGGTGGGAATGTGGAACATGCCACCACAAGGAGTTGTTGAGGCAAATAGCAGATGTATTTAAGGGAAGCTCGAGAGGTACATGAGGGAGAAAGGATGTACCTATCTTTTATACCTCTCCTTTGCAACCAACCAAGGCTTGGTTGAGGAAAGACAGGAGGAGGCTCATGTGGAACATAAACACCGGCATAGACCAGTTGGGCCGAATGGCCTGTTTCTGTGCTGTTTATTCTAATGTATTATTCAGATGTTTGTCTAAATCCCTTTTAAATGATGTCGACTGTCACATGGGTCTTGTGTGAACAGATCCCTACCTTCCTCCCTTACTTCTTCCCTTTAAAACCTCTGTCTTCCCCTTTGTCATTGATTCGCTTAACTTCCCCTGCGTTTAATTGTAATAATGGTAAGATTACTCAGTCTTTGAATGATATCTATACCTGGCGTGCTGAGAGATTGAAGACAAGATGCGGCTGGTATCTGGCTCAGCTCCTGTGATTTCTCCATTGTGTGAAATTCACTGTCCCTGGAGGTCAGTGAAGAGGGTAACCAGGTAACAGGGAGCCAGCCTGGTTAAACATTCACAGTAAACAATTCATTATCCAGCAATGTCCTCAGTGAACTGAAGAGCGCCAGTGAACCAAGCTTGTTGTTTGGGATGGCAGACATCTGCAGCAAGTTGGCAGGGAGAACATCTGAGATTATGTCAATCTTTCTGGTCAGCTCCAAAATAATAGCGAGCAACAGTCCCTCAAACCAGCCCCAGAAACAACAACAGCAACTTGTGCCCCTCAAGAAGGATAGTGTCCCAGAGCACTTAAATACCTATAGCTACACAAACACAACAACTTGCATTTATATAGTGCCCTTCATGAAGGGTAGCATCCCGGAGCGCTTTCAGCAGTTTACACGCACAGCAGGTGAGAGAGATCTTTTGTCAGAAAGTCAACGACTTGAAATGTTAACTCACTTTTCTCTCTCCATAGATGCTGAGTGTTCCCAGCGACTTGTTTTTATTTCAGATTTCTAGCATCTGCAGTACTCTGCCTTTTGTTGAATGTTAGGGACTCGGCTTCAACAACCAACAATAGAAATTCCACCAAGTCGGTGACAAAGACTACCTTGTGAGCTCTGTCTGCTTTGTGTTCTGGTAATAACCAACCACTGACCTCCTCGGTGAAAACATCCTCATTTATCCATTCAGTACCTCCATTGCCCACCTCCTCCCCAACCCTCGAGCGAGAGATAAGCAGTAAATAGGTATTGTACACACCTGTGACTGTACTTTACAACGTGATTGTGATAACTTATTTTTATTCACCTTTTACATACATTACAGAATATAAA